GGACCCTTTTCTTCTTTTTCTGTTTTCCTATTCTTACCAGCACTGACCCGACTCCAGAGTCTGAGGTGTAAACTCCCTGTTTACCTCCCTAGCCCACAACATGGTGTTTTCTCGCTTCCCTTTCCACTTCCCTCCCCCAATTCCAGCCAGGTAAAGTCTTTTTTTTTTTCCTTTTTTTTTTTTTTTTGAGATGGAGTCTTGCTCTGTTGCCCAGGCTGGAGTGCAGTGGTGCGATCCCAGCTCACTGCAACCTCCGCCTCCTGGGTTCAAGTGATTCTCCTGCCTCAGCCTCCCGAGTAGCTGGGACTACAGGCACACACCACTAGGCCCAGCTAATATTTTTGTATTTTTAGTAGAGACGGGGTTTGGCCAGGATGGCCAGGATGGTCTTGATCTCTTGACCTTGTGATCCGCCTGCCTCAGCCTTCCAAAGTGCTGGGATTACAGGCGTGAGCTACCGCGCCCGGCCCAGATAGTCTCTGATCAGGTGGTTTGTTTCTTGCACCTAGATTGCCCTTGTCACACCCCTTCTGGTTGAAACTCTTGACCTTCCTCAAGGCTCAGTCAAAGGCTCCTTCCTTCACGAAGCCTTTCATGAGCCCTTGCTATAAAGTAACTGTTCCTCTGTGCTCCCACAACGCAGCATCCCCCAAACTTCATGCCCATCCAGAACTTCAGATGCAGTCACACTGGATTTAGTATGTGCCCTGAATCCAATAACTTATGTCCTTATAAGATGATGACAGGGGCCGGGCTCGGTGGCTCACGCCTGTAATCCCAGCACTTGGGAGACTGTGGCGGGCAGACTGCTTGAGGTCAGGAGTTCAAGACCAGCCTGACTAACATGGTGAAACCCCCACCTCTACTAAAAATACAAAAATTAGTCGGGCATAGTGACGGGTACCTGTAGTCCCAGCTACTTGGGAGGCTGAGGCAGGACAATCGCTTGAATCTGGGAGGTGGAGGTTGCATTGAGCTGACATCACATTTCTGCACACCAGCCTGGAAGACAGAGCGAGACTCTGTCTCAAAAAAAAAAAAAAAAAAGATGATGGGAGCCAGACACACACAGCGAGGAAGGTCACGTGATAATGAAAGGAGAGATCGGAGCCATGCAGCCAGCAGCCAAGGAGCATCCGGAGCCACAAGGAGCTGCAAGAGATGATGAAGATCCTCCCCTGGAGTCTCTGAGTGGAGAGGAACCTGCTGATGCCTTGATTTCAGACTTCTGAACTCTAGAACCACCAGAGAATACATTTTGTTGGGGTAAGCCCTCAAGTTTGTGTTAATTTGTCATGGCAACCATAGGAAGCACATACACATGATCATCTGTGCCTTCACCGTAGGTACCTGGCCACACTCTAGGCTTTCTTCATCTTTGCTGCATTTCCCCACAGGCCCAGAGCTGTACCGAACACTGAACAGACACCCCAGGCGGGCTTGCTGAGCTACGTCTCTCAGAGACTGTGTCAAGGGACTTAGGAGCTTGGCCCCAGGGCTAGGGATGGGAAGGACACAGGACTTGCTGAATGGAAGTGCTGGAGACTGGGATTCATAAATCTACTCGCAGGGCTAGCCTAGCTGGGTGTGTACCCACATGCTGTAAATTCACTGACAGCAAGACCGAACTCTAAGCCAGTCCCCATCCTACCTCCCTGAAATTCCTCCTCTCAGACCACCTCTCTGAAATGGGTCCTTGAGTTCTTTTCCTTTTTCATTTTCTTTTTCTTTTTTTTTTTTTGAGATGGAGTTTCACTCTGTTACCAGGAGGAGTACAACGGTGCGATCTCGGCTCACCGTAATCTCCACCTCCTGGATTCAAGCAATTCTCCTGCCTCAGCCTCCCAAGTAGCTGGGATTAGAGGCGCTCACCACCACACCTGGATAATTTTTTTGTATTTTTTAGTAGAAACAGTGTTTCGCCATGTTGGCCAGGCTGGTCTCAAACTCCTGACCTCAGGTGATCCACCCTCCGCCACTTCCCAAAGTGCTGGGATTACAGGCTTGAGCCACTGCGTCCGGCCAAGGTCCTGGAGTTCTTGACGTGGTATTGGCCCACGTATGTGGCTCCACCTTCCTAGGTTTGCAATCATGGCCCAAGACTCTAGTCCAGCCACTTGCTTGATACCAAAGCAAAGGCTGGAATGGTCATGACAGATACTTGTAAACCAATGGTCCGCTTCTCCTCCCAGGGGCTCCTGCTAACACCATGTCAAACTCAAAGACTGAAGCCTGGGCTGACCACTAGCCAGAAGTTAGTTCCCTTGGAAGGAAGGGAACAAGCTTAAGCTTTGTGAATGCTTTTGTGGAAGGAATTCTAAGAGGACATAGAAAATTAAAAAGCCAGAAGTTTATGCCTGGAGACCCTAACCATGACCGGCCCTGCCTCGGTTTGCCGCGATGCACTGTAGGTAAGGAGAGATGGGTCCTGATTAGAAGCTTTCCAGTTCTTACAGCCTTAGTGTCCCTTTAAGAAAAACCCTCGCTTATTTGGGCCACCTTTGCACCCTAAGGCTCACCACCACCCACAAATATTGCCGAATCCTATTTAGCTCAAGGTCATTATAGGAAACTGGGTGGTCAACTCTCCCTCCTTCCTAAATAAACAGGTAACTCCTGGACATGTCAGCTATTTGCAGAGATTCTAGTACTCTATTTTTAATTTTTTTTTTTTTCCTTTTTGGGGGTCTCTCCTCTCCAGATCCAATCCCACCGGAATCTAGTCTGGGAAGTGCTCAGATGCAGCCTCCACTTCCACCAAGAGAAGGGACGTCATCTGTGGATCTGCACCGCCACCTCTCCTCATATCACTGCACGCTGCGGGTGGTACTGGCCTCTCTGGTCCAGTGCTCTTGAGCCACCCCCAAACTCCACTGTTCACACCTGTTCCCAACCCATAAATCCCCCACTCCCTCAACACTTGACCCTCTGTTCCAAACCTCAAAACACTCCTGGCTCTGGAGGTTGTCCCAAAGTCGTCTCGCTGGTCTCAGGCAAGAAGCCACAATTCCAAACTCCCCACCATGACAGCAAACAGAAGCCTCATTATAAAGTAGCTCCAGTAATTGGTCAGATAATGATGAGTTACAGGGAGCAATGCTGGTCATCCTGATGAGTCGCATGACTGAACCGAACATGAATGGCACTCAGAGTTTCACAGGCCCCCATGGATCCTGTTTTGTTTTTGGTGACCCTGACACCAATTTCAGACATATTTCTAATTGGCCCTGGCTAGATTCCCTGGAAGAAGACGTCCAGTCCAAGTTAGGTGGGGTTTGGTTCCCGGTGTGTGAACTTGCAGGCTCCACTCTGTGCTATCACACCCAGCCCCCAGTGCCATACACTTCTTTCAATTTAGGATTGTTTATAGTCAGTCAAGTTTTTCCAGATTGACTAAGAGTTCCTCATCTGCTTACTGCAGTCAGCTACAAGAACAGTAAAAGAGACCCAGGACTTGGGCCAGCTGGAAGACTCAGAAGAAAGTCTCTGTGGGATGCAGACAGCTAAAGAATGACAATCACATGCAATTGTCCCAAACCCCACATCCCCCACCAAGGGACACCCTCATCTGCCCTTTTGAGACCCCTTCACAAAAAGCCTCGGGAGCCCTTTTATGGGGCATTGCCTCAAGGAAATGAAACTGCTGAGAACAACTCTTACTTCCCCTTATTTGGTGTGTCCAAGGGTTAAAAACACTTCCGAACTCCCCCTCCAAATGCAAGGTCAAGCAGCTGTCCAAACCACCCAAGGAGAAGAGGGAGTCCTGGACAGCCAGACCCCCGCCAGCTTGGCCACCATGGGCTCCAGCCAGCCCGGCTAGGGAAGAGTTAATCAGATCGGCTTTGGCTGATAGTTCAGGCTCCAAAGTTCAGTCCCAGTCAGAGCCACCCCTGAGGAATTGTAAATCTCAGGGCAGCATTTAACAAAACAAAAGCAACCTGGAATTACATGCAGGTTTGGTTTTCTACAGTACATATTTACTTAATCCCCAAGGTATGCGGCTCCATGTCAGATCAGCTGGCTTTGCGGCCCTTTCGCCCCCCTAGTTCACAGCAGTTTAAGTTTCAAACTAATTCCCTGTTTTCACTCTTCCTCTTCACAGAGCTGGCTGGAGACAGCCGGGCCGGCCTCCCTCTCCCGATGGCTCTGGTCACCGGGTGAGTCAGCCTGGCCTGGGCTGGGAGTTGGGTGACAGCCGGCTCACCCTCCCCACTCTCCAGCACCCGGTCTCCAAAACCTGGAGCAAGGGGTGCTGGGACCACCGAAAAGTGAAAGGCAGTGTCTGGTGGGCAGGACCCTCCCTGTAGCAGCACCTTCCAGCTAAATGGGGAGGGATCTCTGGGGGGTGTGATGGGGGGAGGGGACAGGGTTGAAGGTGAGAACAAGGGCTCTTTATCAGTAGCTGCTTACCCTGGCCTCCTCTTTCCTGCTTTCCAGACACCTGGGCCTCCCAGTGTCGGTCCGGCCAGACTACTACATCCAAGACCGCTCTTCCCTTTTCAAACCCAAACCAATTACCCCCTCTCTTGTCTTCAGAGCTGCAGCCGCCCAGGTTGGGGCTGGGTAGCGGGTTGCCAAGGAAAATACGAGGCGCCAGCTAGCAGGCGGCTCCCAGCTCTACCCAGGAGCGCGCACACCCTGCACTCACCAGGGTGGCGGCGAGAAAAGGGGGGGCAGGCGGGGAAGGGGGGCACAACACCTTCCCTTGGGAGGCAGGAATGTGGGAGATGGGTGGGTCTCCTAAGTTTCAGGGTGGGGGTGAATAGCCAGCCAGCCACGGATCCCCAAGGAGCGGATCAACTCTGAACCTGCCAAAAAAGATAGTCCGGTGCCCGGGAAATTTACAAGGTGAAACCGACTAGCTCAGCACTCGCGGGTGGCGCGGGGGAGCGGGGTGGCTCGCGACTCTCAGCTCCCGGGCGCCGGATCCCGCAGCGGCAGCAGGTGGGCTCACCCCCGCCCCTGCGGCCCCCACTCCCCGGAGTCGCAGTGCCTGGTACCTTTCTGGCGCCGCGCTCCGCGAACTCGCGGGCGAGCTGACGCCCGATGCCTCTCCCGCCGCCGGTGATGAGGACGTTCTCCCGCGACAGGTCCCGCAGCTTGGCGGGCAGCAGCAGTCCGACGGCTGCTTTCGCCACCAGATAGATGATCTGCAGAGGGAACACCAGCAGCGCGCCCAGCCGTTTCCACACCATCCTACGCGCCGCGGAGCCGGGCAGGGGGCGAAACTCCCCGGGCCGAGCAAAACAGGAATTTAAAAAGAAAACACCCCAAACGATAAATAGTAAACCGAATAAGGAGAGAGGCGTCCCACCTGGCCACTCTTCCCAAATGCAAAGCACCGGGTGAGGAGAAAAAAAAAAAAAAAAAGATAAATTCTCCTCTGGGGGAGAAAAAGCGTCTCCTTAGGTCGGGACGGAAAAAGAGGTGAAGGGGGAAGCCGGAGGTGGAAAGTTCTAACAAGAAGTTTCTTGCCCCAGCAGCCGTTTCGGCTGGGGAATTCTCAGGTAATGTTTACAGACTGACAGAGGAGTTTAGGCAGGGGAAGGGAAAAAAAAAAAAAAAAAAAAAAAAAAAGGCACCAACCACACGCGCGCACCCTGCCTCGGTCCCGCGGTTTCAAAGTGCAAGATTAAAAGAAAAAAAAAAAAAAAAAAAGCTGTTTCCAAATTGTAGCGCCCCCACCCCCACCCCTTCTCCAGGAAAAAAAAAAAAGTGGGGGGAAAAAGTGCTTGGAGCTCCCAATTTCAGCCCGCGAAAGTCTCCCGACTCATTGCTATTCTTGGGCTCAGGAAATTGCTTAAACGCGATCTGATTGCCAGCAACGTGCAGGAGAAGTGGGGGGTCCGGGTGTCAGTTTCTTTACGTGCAGGGCTCGCCCTCGCGCGCGCTCGCTCTCTCCGGCTCCCTCCCTCCTGCTCTGTTCCAGCAGAGGCTGGGAGTTGCCGCTCGATCCGGCTCCCCTTCTCTCCCTTTTTAGCATTTATTGCCTTCTTTTTGTCCTTTCCAACTTGGAGAGGGCCCGGGTGTGGAGCGCGCGTGGATCGGACGCCTTGGTCTGCGCGGCCCTATTCATTCGCTCCTCGGGCAGCCGCGGCGCGGAGAGAGAGGGCGGCCCTTTTCCCCCCATTTTTTTTAATACCCCATTAAGTCTGATTGACAGTTAAAGTTGTTGGGAGGCTTCATTACCGTTCCTCTGAGTGGCTGCTGCGGCCTCCCCTCCCCCTGCGCCGTCGCGGGGCGCGCGCATAGGCGCGCACTCGGGCTCGCCGGGACTGGCGCTCTCCCGGGACTGGCTCCCCTCTCTGCAAGCCGGGACTTGCCGCCGGTGTCCCTGAGGGCTCGCAGCTGTAACTCGAACACGCTGGAACCGACTCCTGCGAGCCGGCTGCCTTCCCGAGACATTCCTCCTTGCCCGGGCCGCCCGCGGGCCAGGTGACCACCCCTGCGTGTGGAGCAGGCCTGGGGGAGCCTGCGCATGCTTTGATCCAACCAGGTCGCCCAGGGTCTTATTTCAGGTCATTTGGTCATCCCCTGCCTCCAGGTAGGCTCCGGAAGCCACTTCTCACTTTTGCCCGGACCTCTTCTGTCTTCGCTTTGAGTGGACCTTTAAAAACCTGACCCCAGTCCCTCATGTTGTTGCGGGGAAGCCGCTGGGGAACCGGCGTTTGCTTTGAGAGGAGGGGGTAGTCAGGGTAAAGGAACCTCTGCTCGGGGTGCCAATAAAATCCCCATAAGATTAGCTGGGAGCATATTTATTGCTCATCTGAGCTAGAATTACCTTGACTGACAGCAATTTCCTTAATAACCAACGCCTGTAAACAAAACGGCCTCTACCTGCGCCCCTGCGCTGTGCGGGCAGCGTCTCCTGTTCTTGGGTCTCCCTGGACTGCCCTGGCGGGGCACCCACCTTCTAACCTCCTGCCCTCCCCGACCGGAATGTCTCCCTTGCTGGAGGGTGGGACCGAGCTGCTATTTAGAGTTGTCTGTTGCAGGAAGTCTGGGAGGTGAGTCACTAAAAAGCAGCCCCAGTTCAAAGTGCTGATGGGACTCGCCTCCCGCCCCCTGCACGCTCCCGGGGCCGGAGGAGCGAGAGCGAAGCCGGGAGCTGCCCTGTAATCTGGGGCAGCCGATTCCAGCCCGCGACTTGTTCAGACGGCGATTCCTGGGCCTCACCCCGGAGATTCTGATTCAGCAGGGCTGGGTGCGCTGGGATCGGCGCTTTTACTGCTGCGCCTGGGTGAGAAAGTCACTTCAAAAAACGCTGATCTGCGGGGAGGGGAGGCTGGGATTGCCTAGTCACCTGCAAAGACCTAGATGGGGGAGAGGTTCTGCAGGTGAGGATCTTCCTTCTGGGTGAATTGGGTGAGGCCACTGGAAGAGCAAAAGGCTGGAGAAGCTGAGGATGAGGAACTGTCCTGCCCTGAAGGCCTGGATTTGGACACTTAGTCCTTCCCGTGACCTTGTCATGGGGGTACTATTACCCCATCTTCCAGGTTACCCAGCCAGGAAGTGCAGGAGGGAGGCATCCCAATCCCGACCTCTTCCCACGCTGACCAGACGGGAGAAGTGGAGGATGGAGCTCAGCTAAGGGTTGCAGAGACTCCCCACCGCCTCCAAGAGTCTGACCCAAGGGCGGACCACTGTCCCCATCTGACCCCAGAGCAGGACTCCATGGTGGTGACGGCCTCCTCCCATCTTCGAGGTCTGTAAAGATGGGAAAGAGATTCCAGCCTGGGAGTGACAGGCCTTTCCCACCCAGCAGCGGCTGGTGTCCGCCAGGCCGGCGAAGAATCCTGGAAAGGTCTGAAGACAGAACCAAGCCCCAAAAGCGGGCTCTGCTCATCTGCTGTCCTCGGAGCCGCCTAGTGGCCCAGATCGGACACTGCGCCTCCAAGCTGCCCAGCCTCCAGCCTCCCCGCGCTCCTGCTAACTACCTGTGCTTTTCTTCCAGGCATTTCTCTCCTGTAAGGTTAACACCCCAAGTCGAAAAGGGCTTGTGAAGATCGGAGTCCTCCAGCCCCGCCCCCCGACATACTTTTATGGCTGGGGAAACTAAACCCAAAAGATATTAAGCAACTCATATACAGAGATGGGCGTTCACCCCAACTAGCCCACCATGGACAGATGCCGAACCAGCTGGGTAACCCCTACATCCTGCTTACATATCTCCAGTGTTGTGCCTTGGACGGAGGGCAGACAGTGGGGGGGGGAAGAAGGTCGAGAACCCAAACTGACCTTTCCTGCCTCAAGCCCTTGACACAGTTTCTGATTTAATTTCCTTAACAGCCTGGGGAGGCAGGCGTCATAGTGGCCATTTATTTATCCCAGGAGGAAACAGGCTGGTCAATCTACGTAACTTGTGCAAGGCCACTGCAACCCACTTCCCAAAAGGCTTGGGATGAAATCAGAGGGGAAAAGAACATGTCAGCCATTCCCCAAAGGAACTGATAGTTCCAGAAGCTGGCCTGAGGTGGACAGTGGCCTTTTTTTTCCTACTTGGTCCATCTTGAGGATGTGGTTTCTGTGGGCCTGGAGGCTCTTTGGGCCACAGATGCCTCTCAGCATCAATTGCTTGGAGCGGAGCCATCACCTCCTCTATTTGTCCTCCCTAGGAAGATGGGTCCAAGGAGGCGGGGTGTGTGTGTGTGTGTGTGTGTGTGTGTGTGTGTGTGGTGTGTGCGCGCGCGCGCGCATGCGCACATGCGTGCGTGCTTGCACAGTTCAGCAGGCTGGCCCTGAGGTTCGCTGTGGCCTGGCTTCAGTGAGAACAGCATGGGACACATCCTCCCTGCCTTTCCCTCCCTCCCCCCAGGTGCCCCCTCCTGGAATTTAACTCAGGGCAAAGTTTGAAGTTTCATATCCCAGGCCCGTCCCTGAAAATGTGAAAGGAGCCTTTCTGGGCTTAAGGGAAGAGGTGAGCTGCAGTTGGGAGAAATTTTTTCATGGCTCAGCCCCCTCAGTGCAGCAAGGTTCCACACTCACCCTGCGATTCCTGCACCAGAAGCCTGTTAGAAATGCAGAATTCAGGCCGGTGCGGTGGCTCACATCTGTAATTCCAGCACTTTGGGAGGCCGAGGTGGGTGGATCACCTGAGGCCAGGAGTTCAAGACCCATTCTGGGCAACACGGTGAAATCTGGTTTCTACAAAAAATTCAGAAATTAGCCTGGTACAGTGGGGTGCACCTGTAATCCCAGCTACTAGAGAGGCTGAGGCAGGGGAATCGCTTGAACCCGGGAGGTGGAGGTTGCAGTGGGCTAAGATCACACCGCTGCACTCCAGCTTGGGTAAAGGGAATGAAACGCAGTCTCAAAAAATGAAAAAAAAAAAAAAACCAAAAAAAAAACAAAAAAGAAATGCAGAATCCGGCTGGGAGATCACAAGGTCAGGAGTTCAAGACCAGCCTGGCCAACATGGTGAAACCCCATCTCTACTAAAAATACAAAAACTAGCTGGGCATGGGGGTGCATGCCTGTAGCCCCAGCTACTTGGGAGGCTGAGGCAGGAGAATTGCTTGAACCCAGGAGGCAGAGGTTACAGCGAGCTGAGATCATGCCACTGCACTCCAGCCTGGACCACAGATTGAGACTCTGTCTCAAAAAAGAAAAGAGGCCGGGTGCGGTGGCTCACGCCTGTAATCCAAGCACTTTGGAGGCCAAGGTGGGTGGATCACCTGAGGTCGGGAGTTCAAGACCAGCCTGACCAACATGGTGAAACCCCATCTTTTTTTTTAAAAAAAAAAAAAAAAGGAAAAGGAAAGAAAAGAAAAGAAATGCAGGATCTCAGGCCCCACCCGGGCCCTCCTGAATCGGGCTCTGCATTTTACTGAACGTGATGCCCAGGTGTTCCTCTGCTCACTGTGGTTTGAAAAGCACAGAGGCGGGCCGGGCGCGGTGGCTCAAGCCTGTAATCCCAGCACTTTGGGAGGCCGAGGCGGGTGGATCACGAGGTCAAGAGATCGAGACCATCCTGGTCAACATGGTGAAACTCCGTCTCTACTAAAAATACAAAAAAATTAGCTGGGCATGGTGGCGCGTGCCTGTAATCCCAGCTACTCAGGAGGCTGAGGCAGGAGAATTGCCTGAACCCAGGAGGCGGACGTTGCGGCGAGCCGAGATCGCGCCATTGCACTCCAGCCTGGGTAATGAGAGGGAAACTCCGTCTCAAAAAAAAAAAAAAGAGAAAAGCACAGAGGCTGGGTCCTGCACGCCAGGACGAGGGCTTTGGGTTTCATCTGCAGTGCGATGGGGGGGCCTTTGGGAGCGGGGCGTGGAGCAGAGGGCAGATGTGATAGAATCTCTGTTTTTGGAGGCTGCTCTGGCTGCTGGGTCCAGGATAGCTCTGGGAACTGAGCGGATGTGGGGAGAACAGGGAAAAGGCCACTGGTACTCAGGCCAGGGATGGCCACTGGCTACCAGTTCATGATGGGTAGACAGTGACACCTGGACCTCTGCTGCCATGAGCCCTCAGCTCAGGGACATGGGGGCGAGGCTGGGGCCCCTTCCTCTCCCCGCCCAAGGGACTGCAGTCCTGGGAGCCAAATCCCAGCTCAGCTCACTGCTGAGCTACTCTGCCCCCTTTCTTACCCTTCCTCCAGCTCTCGAGCAGGATTTTAATACCAACAATTTGGTGTGCTTGACACCTACAAATGCGTGTGCACACACAGACACACGTGGACTCACACACGTACGTGACTTTATGGGACGATTGGCTACTTTCCCCTGAGCAGAACAAGCTGGCAGTGTTCAGCCAGGGAGATGTGGAAAACAGTGTTCCCCAAAGTTTAACATCAGCTGCTCTGGAGGGGCTCTTCACGGAGACAGGTTCCTGGGAAACTATGAGTGTCTGTGATGGCCAGCGGGGAGGCTTGCCTGGCCAGAGGCAACAGAGGAAAAAACAGGCGTCAGGTGAGTGGAAAATCCCCGTAGGGAGGGGACCGACAGGGGCCAAGGTCCAGGAAAGCAGACCTGCAAAGGCCAGAGATGGTTTAAAACCCTCATAAAGCACCTCCCCTTCCTAATACAGAACATGGGCCAGGAGGACGCGTTTTCTCCTCGGCAAGGCCTGGTGGACACATAACCACAAAACGCCCCCGCCCCCCGCCACAGGTGAGTATTTTCCATGGAATTGCATCTGTCTCTTCTGGGCACCGGCTTTTTTTTTTTTTTTTCTTTCATTATTGTTTGGAATCCCAGGCCGCAGCAGCAGGGAGGTGGGTTCTTTTGGCTCTTGGGAGCAGGTGCTGGGGCAGCCGTGTTTATTCTGGCTGCCAGGGTCCGGTGAAGACGAAGGCAGGAGCCAAGGCTGGAACATGGCAGGAACACAGAAGGGTGGGAGGGATGTGCTTAGCAAGGGAACAGGCCCCAGGGTGTCACTGTGTCACCTGAGAAAGCTTGGGCGGAGGCCAGAGGGTACCCAGGGGTCCTCACCTGCATCCTGCCTCTGGGTCAGCCATGTAATTCTAAACCAGGGCGTGGAGGATGGGTTTGAGGTTAGTGTGGTTGCAGTCAGATCTAAGCTCTGCCATTTATTGTCTGTAAACTTGGGCAGATGATTTACCTCTCCGAGTCTCAGTTTCTCCATCCCTTAAAGTGGGAATGTTGGCCAGGCGTGGTAGCTCAAGCCTGTAATCCCAGCACTTTGGGAGGCCGAGGCAGGTGGATCACGAGGTCAAGAGATCAAGACCATCCTGGTCAACATGGTGAAACCCCGTCTCTACTAAAAATACAAAAAATTAGCTGGGCATGATGGCGCCTGCCTGTAATCCCAGCTACTCAGGAGGCTGAGGCAGGAGAATTGCCTGAACCCAGGTGGCGGAGGTTGCGGTGAGCCAAGATCGCGCCATTGCACTCCAGCCCGGGTAAGAAGAGCGAAACTCCGTCTCAAAGAAAAAAAAAAAATGAGAATGTTGCCACTACTAAGATAACATCTTTGCAGGGCCTTGCGTGGCACCTGGCAAGGAGATGCCAGTGGGCATTCATGTCCCTCCCCAGGCTTCACATCCTCAAGAAACACACTCTTTGGGGTGGGAGCTAGGACTGAGGGGGGACCCTGGGAGGCAGAGGGACAGAGTCATGGAGGTGGGTGGCAGACAGAGCTGGGACCGTGGGAATACTAAATCCTTACCCTAAACCAGGAGTCTGCAGACCTTTTCTTTCTTTCTTTCTTTCTTTCTTTCTTTCTTTCTTTCTTTCTTTCTTTCTTTCTTTCTTTCTTTCTTTCTTTTTTTAAGACAGTCTCACTCTGTCACCCAGGC